ATGGGGGCCACGAAGGGCGACAACGGGGGCCACGAAACGCATGCACATGGGGCCACGACGGGCGCGAACGAGCGGGGGGCACGAAGGGCATACGTATATTGGGCCGCAGAGGGCAAGCACGGGGCCACTGAGAGCGCCGACGGGACCACGAAGGGCAGCGAAGGGGCCACGAAGGGCGACAACGGGGCCACGAAACGCATGCATATGGAGCCACGACGGGCGCGAACGAGCGGGGGCCACGAAAGGCATACATATGGGACCACGAATGGCAGCGAGAGGGCCACGAACGGCTGCAACGGGGCCCCGAAGGGCACCGAGGGGGCCACGAAGGGCAGCGAAGGGGCCAGGAAGGGCAGCAACGGGGCCACGAAGGACTGCAACGGGGCAGCGAAAGGCAGCGAAGGGGCCACGAAAGGCTGCAACGGGGCCACGACGGGCAGCGAATCGGCGACGAACGGCTGCAACGGGGCCACGAAGGGCAGCGAGGGGGCCACGAATGGCAGCAACGGGGCCACGAAGGGCAGCGAGGGGACAACGAAGGACTGCAACGGGGCCACGGAGGGCAGCAAGGGGGCCACATAGAGCTGCAAGGGGCCACGAAGGGCAGCGATGGGGCCATGAAGGGCTGCGACGGGGCCACGAAAAGGCAGCGAGATCCCGATGCCGAATTAAGCTGTGAGGGAGTCCTAAGCGTGAGCGCGACTCCTGGGTGCCTGAGTGTCGGGGGCGCGGCGCTTGAGTAAATTGCGGTGGGTTCCAACGCAAGAGCGCGATTCTTAAATATGAATTGCAAGCAAGTCTCAAGCGAGAGCGCGACTCTAGAGCGCCGAGAAAGCGATTCTTCCATACATCGTATGGAAGCCCAAAGCGAGAGCGCGATTCCTGAATCAAACGCGAGGAAGTCTCAAGCGAGAGCGGGGCCCTGGCTAAATTGTGAGGAAGTCTCAGGCGGGAACCGTTGTTGTTGTAATCCGGGGGCCAGGGGTGCAGTTTGAGCATAGTGACTTTCCTTGATAAAACAAAGCAGGGTGCAAGCCCTGGGTGGAGCACTTCAAATATTCTTCAATAGTGAAAGTCCGACACCACTATCACCACCAACAACAGCAACAACAACATCATCACCAACCATAAACGCAATAACCACATCATCAACAACAACAACAACGCAAGGACAACCCCTCAGGCCAAGCTGGTGGGTCCCGTGGTGTCGTCGTCGCCCACAGGGTGAGCGCACCCTCCTGGGCCAAACGTTGCTATTGTTGCCTCGGGGGGCGGGGGGGAAGAGCAACGCGCAACACCTCTGTCATACGTTTACGTAAATCTATATGCGTTCCGGAAGAAACGTCGGCGCCCTTCCCATTATCCACGCACTTCTGTGTGCGAGCGCCGTACGCGCGCCGGCGAAGCGCGTTCCTCCCCGTCGATCAGAATCCTGTACGATCCCTACGAACCCTGAAAGACTCTTGTACGAATCCTACGGGAATCCTAGAAAGGACCCAATCCGAATGCTGTCTAAATCCTATAAGATCTCTACGAACCCTAAAAGAACCCCTATACGAACCCCACGGGAATCCTGTAGGACCCTGTCGGAGTAGTGTAGGCAGCTTATAGGATCCCTACGGACACTGTAGGAATGCAATACGAAACCTATAGGACCCCTACGGACCCTGCAAAAATCCTTCAGAAATCTTGCAAGATAGACCCTTTGGGACTCCGGTTGGAATCCTATAAGGTACCTAAGGACCCTGTAGGAATCCTATAGGGCCCCTGCGGACCATATAATAGGAATCTGGTGAGAATCTTGTAGGAATCCGATGGGATCCCCACGGGCCCTGAAGGACCCCCCCTGCGGACCCTATTGGAATACCTCTACATGTGGCTCCACTTCTTATAAAACTGAATTACATGTGGCTCCACCTCAAATAAGATCCTATATCATGTGGATCCACCTCTGATCGGACTTTAGTGCAAAACCGGCACGGTCTGTATGGGATTCGTTACAAGTCCGATGCGGCATGTAAAGAAGCTTACACAAATCCGACACGGCCTGTATGGGATCCCACGCAAACCCGACACGGTTTGCATGGGCTTCCTACAAAGATCCGACACGGCCTGAATTGGATCCCACACAAATCCGACACGGCCTGTATGGGATCCTACACAAATCCGATACGGCATGTACGGGGTCCTGTACAAAACCGATGTACGGCCTGTATGGCCCCCCCCCACAAATCCGGCGCGGCCTGTATGGGGTCCTACACAGACCCGATACGTCATGTACGGGGTCCTGTACAAAGACGCGACACGGCCAGGTCCTACACAGACCCGATACGGCATGTACGGGGTTCTGTGCAAAGATCCGACACGGCCTGTATGGGATCCTACACAAGCCCGATACGGCATGTACAGGGTCCTCTACAAAGACCCGGCACGGCCTGTATGGGATCCTACACAAACGCGATACGGATGTACGGGATCATGTGAAGATCCGACACGGCCTTGATTGTACCCCACACAATTCCGACACGGCCTGTAGTGGAGCCAACACAGATCCGATACGCCCTGTATGGGATCCTAACAGGCCCGATGTGGCTCGTAGGAGATCGTGCACATATCGCCCCAAGATCGCCCCAAGATCGCCCAAGAGGCCTCCAAAGTAGCCCCAAGACGACCCCCAAAACAAATCCAAGAACTGCCCGAAAGGCCTCCGTCCAAGACGACCAGGATGGCCTCCGACACGGCCCTGATAAGCCCTGAGAAGCCCAGGGGCGCCCCCAAAAAAACTCCCAGGAGGCCTCCAGGAAACTCCCAGGAGGCCCCAAAAGTCCTCCTTTCCTGGTCCTCCTCCTCCGCCTCCGCCTCCACCTCCCTCTCGTGGTCTTCTTCTTCCGTCGCTCGAAGTGTTGGGAAGAAACTTCTCCCCAGCACCGTTGTCGCAATTGCCCGCTCGATCTCGAACGGAATAGCCAAGTGGCGCTTCAAGGGAGGCGACAACTGTTACTGTCGGAAACGCGGGCCTCCCGAGCAACGCCCAGGAGCCTCGCAGCAGCCCCGAAGGGACCCCCCGAGCAACGCCACAGGGGCCCTACAGGGCCCCCGCAGGGGCTCGGCGAGGCCCCGTGGCGTTGCTCGGGTTAGGGGCCCTGCAGGGCCCCTGCGTGGCCCCGTGGCGTTGCTCGAGTGGGGGGGGGGCGAGCAACCGGCCCCCAGTAGTGTCCTCGCTCGCGAAAACAACAACAATCATTAAGCTACTTTTCGCTCTTACCTGCTCGCATACCATTCAACACGTAAATCCCACACCCTCGATACCCGCCCGCTTCGCCTTCCATCGTGCCCCCTTGGGGGTATATCTTCCTTGCCTGTCGCGTGTAAGAAGTGCAGCCGCGAAAACAAAGGAAGAGAGGAAGCATAGAAGGGGGATAGAGAATGATGGGGCACGAGAGAGATCAGCAGGAGGGGGGCTACGAGCAGAAAACACGTGGCACGACCAATCGGGCTGATCGGGCTGGTAGACCCTAACGGGCGGGTCGGGAAGGCGGGCCCAAGCGGCCAGGTCGAGAAGGCGAGTTGCTGAAGCGCGAGTACTGCATTGCATGAATCGCGAGGAGGGCTCGAGCGATAGCGCGATTCCAAACTGAATCGCGAGAAAAACCAACGAGACAGCGCGATTCCTGTGTGTTGAGGTCGCGGCGTCTGAATGAGTTGCGGAGAAGTCCCACGCGACAGCGCGATTCCTGCACGCATTGTGAGGAGGTCCCGCGCAAGAGCGCACGTGCGAAACAAATGATGAGTAAACATCAGGCGGAAGTGGGCCGTCATGGGGCACTCTTCGTACCAAACCCTGGGGCCCTCTTGGGCCGTCTTTGGGCTCTCTTGGACTGCCTGGAAGCCTTTCTAGGCAGTTACAGTTGGGGCGTTGACACAAGGAACCCTAAATAAGGAACGAGGCCCCTTTCTCCCATAAGTTAGACTCCGATTTTCCATGGGAAACCTCAGGAAAACCCAAGGAACACTGTAAAACAACTGAGGAACACGGAGCCCCTCTCAAACGAAAAGGGCTCCTTCTTCAGCGCCCCGACTGTATGAGGCGGCTTTCGGGCCTGGCCCGGGGGATCTTCTGCCGGGGCGCCCGGGAGGCCCCAGGGGCCACGGATCCTGGGAGTCCCGTTTTGGGGGCGGGCGTCCCGCCCTTCTGCATTGCAAAAACATTTAAACAAAGGCATCGCTTTGTCTTGCGACAGGAGGAGGAGGAGGAGGAGGAGGAGGAGGAGGAGGAGGAGGAGGAGGAGCAGGAGGAGGAGGAGGAGGAGGAGGTGGAGGGGGACTCTGACGAGCTGTTGCGATTGCGGTCCGACCTCATCTCTTTCTTCCTCCAACTCGCCCACTGCAGTTCTTATGTATGATAATGCTGCCGTAAGACTGATCGTGTTCGGCCTTCCCCTGCGTGACCTTCAGAAGCGTGTGCAATCGTACGCACTGATGCTCTCATCGGCGATTTTGCTCAGGTATTGCCGCAAGGTGTTTTGCATGGAATTTGCCCATGGCCGTCAACTGTTGTGACGCTGGCCCAGCGTGCACTGGAATCCGAGCGCGCGCGCGCGGCTCTAGTCGAGGGAGCAGCCCCCGCGAAGCCCCTGGAGATACCAGGATGAACCGGCAGGCCCCGCGCCGTCCCAGGAGGTCCCGGAAAGCCTCAGGAAGCCCCAAGGGGCCCCTGGAGGCCCCAAGAGGCAGCTGGAGGTCCTGGGAGATTCCAGGAGGTCCCACAAGGATTCAGGAGGCTCCAGGAGGCCCCAGGAGGTGTCAGAAGGCCCCCAAGGATGGGGGATGCAATTGGGGGCAGGAGGGAAGGGAGCGGGATGACCTGGGGAGGGGAATTGGGGGCAAGAGGGCGGATGAGGAGAGGCGGCAGGGAGGAGGAAAGAGAGAGAGGACGGAGGGAGGAAGGGAGGAGGAGGAGGAGGAGGAGAAGGAGGGTGGGGGGGAGGTGACAGCGGCACCTCGCGAGGCAGATGGGCGTGTCCGCCGACGCCCGTGCCCACTGCTTCGGGCGGTCCAGGGAGCAAGCGGTGGCGTTAAACTCGCGAGTCGTCTGGCAGGGGCCAGCAGGGCGGGGGAGGCGGATGGGAGAAGAGCCAGGGGAGCGAGAAGAGGAGCAGGAGAGAAACAATATGATATGTATGTATATACATATATGATAAGATAAAGGCGGTGGGAGATGATGATGATGATGCTGATGATGATGGTGGTGGTGATGATGATGATGATGATGATGATGATGATGATGATGATGATGATGATGATGATGATGATGATGATGATGATGATGGTGAGGAGGAGGAGGAGGAAGGCTGGGAAGGAATATGAGGAATAGTCGTAGCAATGACAATGGGAGAAAGGAGAAGGATGGCGGGGAGGAGACGCAGCAGAAGGGGAGACTCGACTAGACTCACTCTCTGGCACCATGTCATCAATACGTTCGCAACTGGAAGATTGGTGCAAAGAAGGTGCACGTAGTAATGGCTACAAGCCGGTGTGGCCCCACCGCCGAGAAAGCCCGTCGGGGCAGGAGGAGAGAGACGGAAGAGGATGAGGATGAGGATGAGGAGAAGGCGGAATGAACGGTAGCAGAGGGAGGATGAATACGACGAAGACGAGGTGTGGCGCGGAATGCACCGATACGTGCTCGTTTTGGGGGAGGCGCTAATCTTGCGGAAGTGGGACGGAGGGGGCAAAAGAGGATGGGGCCCAGGAGGGAGAGGGGCGATGCGCCTCGTCTTCATCGTTCTCCTCCCTCCTCCCTGCAGCCTCCTCCATCATCACGCATTCCCCTCTCTCCATGAAGACGAAACCAGGGCGAAAACGACATCGGGTGAGGATACATCGAGCATCTCTGAGATCCGGCGGGCCTGGAGAATGCCACGGGCGCCGCGGGCTCCGAGAGCGCTCCGGAGACTTCGGGAACGGATTTTTCCTCCTCCTCCTCCTCCTCCTCCTCCTCCTAGCCCCGACCGATTCCTTCCACCCTTTCGTAGTCCTCCTCCATTCCATCATGGAGGGCGATCTGCCCGGGTGGAGGACGAAAGGGGCCAGCGAGAATCTCCTGCCCCCTGCCGCCCTCGAGGACGCCAGACGGGCGTGGCCGTATCGCTTGGCGGGCTCTGCTGCGCTAGCGGGGGGAATCGCCAGAGGGGGTCGAGTGAGCCCACGTGGGAAGCCATGCGACTGGAAAGGCAGAGGAACGGAGAGCGAAACAATCGACTGAATGCAGAGCGAGAGCGCTCCGGGAAGAGGGGCTGAGCGGGAAAGCGTGGAGGTCGGGAGGGGACACAGGTTTCAGCGTCCAAGGCTGCAATGAGCCCACACCTGAGGCTTCAAATCTCAAAGAGCTGGAAAAACGACTCTGTCTGGACGACCCTGGGAATGCTTCGAAGATGCCTGCCTAGACCTCGTTTCGGTGGATCAGCCCTTACTTCCGCCGTTATCGTTGTACTCCCGCAGGGTTCCACTGTGGAGGGGAAGCTCAGCCCCTCACTGCCCGCTGGAGAAGCCTTGCCGAAACGCCAGTCGACCCACTTTGCCGCCAGCCCCGCGGGGCAGACGGCAGTGCCCGAGGGCGAGGAAGCGCCAAGACGGCGCCTGTGTCGCCGCCTCTCTCGCTTTTTTATTTGTTCTCTCTCTCTCTATATCTCTCTCTTTATCATTTGTTCTGCCCTCTCTCTCTCTCTTTTTCTCTCCCTGGTTATTAACTAGATATTGCAATATAATCATAGCGCTTAGACGGGATGTTGTTATGCTGATATCTGTTTTGGTCTTGGCACCGATCCAGTGCGGCAGAACAAGTCACAAACATATACAACCCCTGGCTTAATTATCTGGGACTTCAAGGAGAAGAAGGAGAGGAGGGAGGAGGACTTGAAACCAAAAAGCGTCATATTCAAAAAACGGATCACGCCATTAACTTTAACAATATTTCCGTGCAGCCACCGTCATGTTTAGACGGGTCAATTATTTTTCCAGCGCGCATCTATTTGGTCTTGGCACCGATCCGGTGCGGCAAAGCAAGTCACATATTATATATATGTATGTATGTGTATATATAGATATATGTGTATATACGGCCACTGCCCAGCAACTTGAATTCGGGCGGGTCTGGGGGGGCATTTACTGCGGCTCCCGCGACACGAATTACATCATCACACCGACTGGTCGGATACTCAGCAGCTAATTTCGAGCGAAGGTGTCTGTTCTTTCGCCTCTGCGTGTCCTTCCCGGTGCCTGCGGAGCGTGTCGTTGCTCCTTAATTATCCCGCAGGTGGGGAAAGCCTCGATGGGGCAGGCGCAGCCGTTCTGGCCGCACCTCCGTTACGTCTAAACCAACCGCACCGCTTCTGAAGGGGAGTCAAGCAGCGTTTCTGTGCTGCTCGACTCGGCCTGCGGCTATCGTCGGCCTTCCCACCTGCGGCAGGATGCCGCCCCCGCGCCCTTCCCAAGGAAGGGCTTGCTGAGGAGCGTAAAGCGGTCGTGCACCAGAAAGGACCCTGCCCACTCCTACCTCCTCCACAGCCGGCCAATTGGCGCCCCCTCTCCCTACAGCCCCTTCCTGTCTCTATCTCCTCCGCGGCAGGCGTCCCTGTCAGTTCCTCCATTCTCTCTCCTTTCCTCCGCGGCCGGCTCGTGGGGGGCTCGCCGGCCGGCCTCCACCCTCCCTCCGGGCTGCCGCGCCGCCGTCCCTCGAATGCGCCCCTTCGAAGGAGGCTTGCATTCGTGAAGGGGGCTTCGTGGGTGGCGGCGGTTCTGCTTGGGTGGGCGGGTCGGGCCGTGGGCTTGTCTCCATGGGCGCAGGCGCCTGGGATTTTCCAGGTCGGGGCGCTTGCCGGCCCCGCGCTGCCGCGGGCTCGCGGACTCCTGTGACGACGTGCGCCTCTGCCGCCCAAGCGGTGGCCTCTCGCGCGCACTCTGACAGGCCGCGCCACGTCTCGGAAGAAAACTTGCGTCGGTGCCGCGAGCTGCAGCCCCGCGCTCGGCGAACTCGCCCGCCGCGCTGCTGGCTCGGCGCCCCCGCTCCGATGTCTGACCTGCATCCACCTGCGCACTCGCGCAGCGCGCACGGGTCTTGTGCACGTCAGAATATGACTTCTAAAAGGCGGCCCAGAACTGGCCCCGATGGTGCGCTCTGACGCTCGACGATCCAGCCCCGCCCCCCTCCCCGCGTCGAGCCGCGCTGACAGTCCCAGCGCAATCTACATGCAGCGTGAACGGGGGCAGGGCCACTTGCGCTAGCAGATTCAGCGCAAAGTCTTCGGCATCCCGAGCCTGTTGCCTGCGCGCCGCTGCCCTCGGAACTGGCCCGTGGGCCGCCGCCTGCAAGCGGCCGAACTGATCTACTTGCGCCGCGGCCCCGCCAGCTCGGGCCAGGCGCGGGCAGTCAGCCCAAAGGACCGAGAGCTGTCAGTGCACAAGAGCCCGCTCAGAAGGCCCAGCGCGGGCCTGTTGTGCTAGCGGATGGTGACCTCGGGCCCCTCGGGGACCTCTATCAAGACCGCCGGGCCCGGGTAGAGGCCGCGCGCGAAAAGCTCGCCCTCGTAGAACCCCAACTCTTTGACCCTGCGGGCCCGTCGCTGCAAGAAGTCAGAGACACCTTCGAGACGCTGCGCGGTCGACGCTGGGTACTCGCAGGCTCTGTGCCAGAGCGACCCGTCGGGGTCTCCGCGCCGCGGGCAGCTCCCGGACTCCGCCAGGCCATGCTTGAAAAGCCTGCATTGGGGCCAATGGGCCCCTGAGATGAGCGACCTCAGGGACCTCTGGCGCCTCCTCGCACATCCTTTCGCCTCCGAGACCTGGTGCAGGAAGGGATTGAGGGCTTTCCAGAAAAGCGGGGTACTCCACGAGGCCGCGGGCCACCTGACCTCGAGGCCTTGCCGATCCGACGCTCGAACGGCACCGCCCTCAGCCGAGGCCATGACGAGGGCTGCAGACATCTTTTCCAACTGGATCATCTCGCCCTCGTTCGTGACGAGGGTGTCGCACGCCTGAAAGGACCAGCCTATCCTCTCCAAGCAGAAGACCGCCACTTCCGCAGGTGACGCTGCCGACGCCCGCGGAGATGACGAGCGCGACATCCTGCTCTGCGCCGCTTCCAAGCAGACCTGCAGAACACCTAGCTCGGGATAGGGCCCCCAGACAGCCTGCGCCCACATGAAAAACACATGGGCGATGTTCCAGATCAGCGGGTCTATCCTGGGACCTTCCTTTTAACTGCGCAGTCTAAGGCTGTTCGTCGCACCCTTCGGCGCGCGACCCAAACGGCCCACGGCGCTGAGCCGCAGACCTCGCATCTGAGACGGCGGGGCCCCCATGATACTGGGCCCCCACGAGGCCGAGGCCGCCGGGTCCGCTCTCTGGACCCAAACAGTGCTTGCCCCAGCCCGCCGAAGATGCTATAGTTTGCTCGATCGTTTCCGCGCTCCTTCCCACCTGGCCCTGGCGACCCCGGCCATCCGACTGGCTCCGAGCGAGGCATCAGTCCCCAGGTTCCTGGTTACTCGAGCGCTTGCGGGCGCCTCCCAGGCCTGCTGCAGCTTCGCATCGAGCTCGGCGCTGCTGCACAGGTACTTCGACGTAACTGAGACTTGCAGCCCGAGCTGCTTGAAACTAACCATCAGCGACGTCGCGGCCCCTGCCGGCTGGTTCACGACCGCATCAGCGGGGGCGACGATCTGCAACGGGACGTCGTCTATCACGCTGCGAATTGCCAACTGCGGGCGCCCAAACAGGGCCAAAGACGAAGGACTCAACAGGAGCAGCCTTGCTAGTGTCGCTGCTGCTGGACATCCTACCATCACCCCTCCATTCGCCTTGACCTTCCCTGCGACACACACACACCGCACCGTGCGAGACTCTCTCGGCGGCGTGCATCGCGCACTGCAACAGGCATAATATCAAACGATGCTCAACCGCTGCTCGATACAGGTCGACAATCGCGATGTGCTCGCAGAAATTCTCAAGATCGAGCAGGGCTGTCGCCGTCGACGTACCCACACTAAGCCCAAAGTGCGCAAGCATATTGTGCACCCAACCAGCGCGCTCGCACGATGCGTCGGGGCCTGCGCCCAAAAAGAAGGAAGCAGGGTGCCCCACTTTTGCGGAGGTGCTGACGGCACTTCGACCACACCTTCATGAACAAAAAACTCAAGAGGCCGATCGGCCTGACCCCTCCATCTGGCTTTCTTCAAAAAAAAATGCTGGTCAGCAGGTCCGACAGGACCTCGGGGGCCTCCTCGAACCCATGCAAGATGTCCTAGATCCGCATTTGATAGGCCTCTGGTAACTTCAAGACGAGCCCTGGGCGGAAGAGTTCCACCCAAGCCCTTCCCCCTCTGCACGCCCGCGGCGAACGCGAAGGAGCCGGTCCACATCTATCCTCGGGGGCGCGCCCCCTCTAGTATCCCATCGAGACGGGTGCTCAAGTGAGGCTCTACGGTCCTGGAACCACAGGGGCACCCACTGGTCCACCAAGGCCTGCGCGGCCTCATTCCCAAGACAGATAATTCAACATATGCTGTAGACTGGCTACTGCGATCAGTGAAAGCCCGGCGAGAGTACGCGTGCGCAGCCTTACCCCCGTGCCCCACCGCGTTCTGTGCCCACTTCTGCCACCTGCTAAGCCCCTCCTAAATATCCGTCCCCCTCAACTCCCCCACGTAACTGTCAACCTGCTGGGGGTGCTCTGCGCGCCTCTCGCCGTCGGCTTCGATGGAGCCGATGAGACCTAAAACGAACAGCTGGTTCAGCCGGCCGTCGCGGCAGAGCAAGCCGGGGACCATGCCCCCGAGTCTATCAAGCCATTGCTGACGTCGAGCCCTGCCTGGCGCACCTAGCTGGCAACTGGAACCTCAAACTCGAGTTGCGCGGGTGGCCAGCGCCTGGAAGGACACATCCACGCCGCGGTTCGCTCTGAGTACCTGCGGCGAGCCTCCCGAGCCCAGACCGTCTCCACGGGGGCCTTGACCGTCTCGGGCCCCTGGGCCCCCCCGCAGCAGGCGCTCGTCCTCCTTCAGCTCCTTCCTGGGCCCCGCCGCAGGCTCCAAGGGAAACCGCTTGAAGTGGATCTGCTTAGTGACTAGCCTGATCGTGGAGAGGCCCCAGGCGCAGGCGAACGCGGGGAGATCGGGCCCTCGCTGAAACACTTGACATCCGAGACGCAGTGCCCTAGCACGCGCGCGCCAACAAAGAAGCCCATCTTCCTCTGCTCCAACTCCTTGCCCCTTCTGGTCCTCGGGCCCTTCGACTCCTTCTCCGACATCGCCGGCTCCGCTGGCAGCAGCCGACCTGCAGGTGGGCTGACCTGGCGAAAAAATGGCACCGCGCGCTCTGTCTAGCCATCCGCCGGCAGCTAGATCGAAGGGGGCGAAGTTCCAATCTGCCCGAATGGCCCACGGACTTCGGGCGATATCGACGCTTTGCCATTCTGCCGAAGCATTTCCACAGGCCGTTGCGAAAGTGCGCTGAAATGACCGCGAGACCTGATGGAAACCCAACGTTGAGCAGACGGACCGAGATCCTGGCGTGGAAGTCGCTCAGGTCACCTGGCGGACATGCAGAGGGGGCCATCGACCGCGAGATCCCCAGGACCACGCCAGCAGAACTCACGTTTGGCCCGTTCCCCGTCGATTCGGCAGCTCACGAGCTCAAGGCCCGCTGCCTGCGCTGGCCCCAGCTGTAGGCCTGATCTAGCTTGTCACTCGCCCTCAGACGCGTCTCCTGCCCGCAGGTCACCCGCGGCTGCAACGCGGGCCGAAGGGCGCTGCTGGCAGATCCGAGCACCAGACAATCGCAAACTTGAAGGGCTCCCAGCTGTTCGCATTGACCCCGACGATGCACGGGCGGTTGCGCTCTGCGGAGGGCGCCCTGACCTGCTGCCGAGGCCCGTCGCGCCCGCGCGAATGCGCGCTCAGTCCCGACGAACCCGGCGGCGCCAGTGAAGTCCTAGGCCTCGAAGTCGGCGACGGGCCCGGGCCGCGCCGACGCCGACGGCCCAAGCGACGACGGAGGCCTCGCCGATCCACCCTTGGCAATCGACGACGAGGGCCGCCCTGGACATCGCGAACTGCACGCCGCTGCCGACCCCGCCGAGCCCGCGGCCGCAGCGGCCGCCCTTGCCGTCGCCGAGGCCGGCGGCGGCGAGGGGGGGGGCTGTGACTTTGCAGGGCTGAATCCTGCCCCCCCTTCCACCAGAGGATGCTGGACTGGCCGCTCCGATCCGAGAGGGGGCCGCTCGACCGAGTCCAGCGCCCTGCCGCCGCCAGCCTTGCCGCCCCCTTGCCTGCGGCCGCCGCGGCGCCGCGCCCGCGCCGCCAAGCTGGTCGATCACGCTGGAGCGGTCGCGCGGTTACCCCTGGCTCGGGGGCGGGGTGATAGGGCGCTCCCTCCCAGAGCTGCCCCCTGCCCCGCCCAGACCAACGCGCTGCCCCTCCAGTCGACTGCGGCACCGCCCACGTTGCCCCACCGGCAGCGGCGCGCTCTCCCAGCCGAGCGCCGACAGCGGCCCGAGGGCCCGCGGCGCTCGGAGGGCCCGCGGGCACCGCGGCCGACAAACCAGCCAGCGAGTCGAGCATCCGCTCAGGACGGCATGCTGGGACGGCGAAGCTCGTCAGCGCCGCCCAGTCATCGTCCACCATGTTCGTCTCCCAGAAGCGTCCGACAGCCGACAGGGCTGTCGGGCTAGGACGGCGACACTCGCCGAGCCCGCTTGATGCCGAGGCCCGGCACGGCGTCCAAGTACCTGCGCTTGCCCGCCTCCAGCACAGCAGGTTCTGCCTCTCGAGCTTGGCGGAGCTCTTTGGCGGCCTCGGCGCAAGCACGCTGGCGGTCGGCGAACTCCTCGCTTCCCAGTAAGTCCATGTCCACGTCCTCGGGGTCGACAGGCATGTTGACGTGGTGGCCCTCTCCTGCGGCGGCGGCTCCGCCGCCGCCAGGGGACCCATCAGCGCCAGGGTGCGCCGTCAGAAGCTGCCGCTGCCTCGGACCTCTCCTGAGCAGCTGCCAGCTGGAGGCGCTCCAGCGTGGCCAGCGCGGCCTGGCCCTCGGCGGACTGCGCGACGCAGTCGTCCAGCGTGGCGCTGACGGCCTTGAGCGGGTTGGAACTTGGCCAGCTCCTCCTTGCACGCCGTTGCCGCCGCCGTGACATCCGCCAGGGCCTTGTCCAGTTCCTCCCGCTGGTCGCTGAGGACCCTGGCCTTGCCGTCCAGCTTGGCCAGCTTCTCACGGAGGTTCTCCATCTTCTACCGCGCGGACCGCGCCGAGGGGCCCTTGGCCGCCGCAGGTGCCTGCTTGGCCTTCTTCACCTCCTCGACACTTGCCGTGCCCACACCCTCACGTTTGAGGACTGCAGCACGTCCGCGAACGAGAGCTCCTTCGTGCTGGCCGACGGCTAAGAGGGCGGAGGCCTAACAGCCCAGGGCGGCGCACTGCCGTCGAGCGGGGCCACCTTCGACTGGAGCTCGCGGATGAGCTTGGCCTGCGCATCTCCTCCCCCTCCGCCGCCGCCGCCGCCATGAGCCATCTGCGGCGGGCCCGCGGCCCATGCACCTCGCGGTGGCGCGCGCTGCCCGCCGCTGGGCGCGAGCTTGGCCGCCGCTGCGCGCGCCGCCTGGGCCACCTTGGCGGTAGCGTTTGCAGCACAGCCCCTGCACTTGAGCCGCGAGGCCCAAGTGTCCCAGCAGCCGCACGAGGGGCACCCCCACCAGGGCGTCTTGGCCCCAGGGAGGACATCGGGCGGGGGCCCCATGCATCGCTGGCGGCGGCGACAGGGGCGAGCGTTGAAACCAAAGTGGCTTGCAAGCACGTGCTTGCAAGCGCAGCGCCTCAAAGGCCTGCGCCAGAAGGGCTAGGAGGAGGAGGAATAGGAGGAGAAGGAGGAGGAGGAGAGGGAGGAGGAGGAGGAGGAGAGGGAGGAGGAGGAAGAGGCGGAGGAGGAGGAGGAGGAGGAGGAGGAGGAGGAGGAGGAAGAAGAGGAGGAGAACGCCCCCGGGCTGCTCCTGGTCGAAGCTTCCCATCGCCGTAGCCCCATCGGTCACCTGGCAGAGGGAGAGCAGGGCTCAGCCGCAAGATCGGACCGAGAGCGCCGTTGTCCAGAGTGGACGGCGCCCAGACAGGGCCGTGTACCCCCACGCCCCCTTCGATACGCCGAGGAGGGGGTCGAGGGGAGGAGGAGGAGGAGGAGGAGGAGGAGGAGGAGGAGGAGGAGGAGGAGGAGGAGGAGGAGGAGGAGGAGAGGAGGGGGAGGGGGAGGAGGAGGGAGGAGGGGGAGGGGGAGAGGAGGAGGAGGAGGAGGGGAGGAGGAGGTAGGAGGAGGAGGAGGAGGAGGAGGAGGAGGAGGAGGAGGAGGAGGAGGAGGAGGAGAAGGAGGAGGAGGAGGAGGAGGAGGAGGAGGAGGAGGTCGTCGTTGGTTCTCGGAGGTCTTCTCGCCTCGGGATTCCTTCCAGCAGCTGCGCCTCGCCGAGAGCTCTCCGGGCGTGCCCAGATCGTCCCGAAGGGCCGCCGGAGGCCCGAGCTGGGACCCGAAGACCACGAGGCTTCGAGCAGCCGCCTCGCCTCCATGGGCCGCCTCGCGTCCTCTCGTCGCTCCTCGCTCGGGGACTTGACTCCCCGCTCCCAGCTCCTCGTCCTCCTCGTCCTCCTCCTCCTCCTCCTCCTCCTCCTCCTCTCCTCCCCTCCTCCTCCTCCTCCTCCTCTCCTCCCCTCCTCCCTCCTCCTCCTCCTCCCCCCCCCCCTCCCCCTCCTCCTTCTCCTCGTCCTCCTCCTCCTCATCCTCCTCCTCCTCCTGGACGTATCTCGACGCCTCGCATGCCCCCCAGCTCCTCCTGCTCCTCCTCCCTCGCCGCACCCCCCAGCTCAGCATTACCCATCGGTCGGAAGGAGTAGGTAGAAACATGAGGTAGGAAAGCGCTGAGAGCAGATCGAGTGTCCGCCCGCCCCCTAGAGAGGACGGAAAAGGGAGGCCACTCGATCATTGGAGTAGGAAGGCGTTTATGAAGTAGATTGGAAGATGGGACTCCAAAAACACACGTCGTTCATTTCTAATCGTGCTCATTTCTAATTGTGCTCGTTTCTAATTGTTCCCGGCCCCCTAGTGGCCAGGAAGATGCCCAGGATAGAAGAATTAGAAATGAAGGGATCTTGGCCCCCCAAAACATCAAAGAACTTTCGAATACTTGAAAATGATCAATGTGTACTTTCAACGACCGATGGGCGCGCAAATTCCGAACCACGGTGCGGAGAACGGCCGACTGGACGTGCGGCCTCCGCTCGAGAGCCTGCTTATCGTGGCGCAGCGTCGGGGATCGCAGGGTGGGGGGGGCCTCTGGGCGCAGACCACCTCCGATGGGCCATTTCCGCTGCCGTAGGTAGGACGGGGGGGGAAAGGAGGATGGGGAGGTCCGGTCCTCCTCCTCCTCCTCCTCCTCCTCCTCCTCCTTCTTCTCCTCCTTCTCCTCCTCCTCCTCCTCCTCCTCCTCCTCCTCCTCCTCCTCCTCCTCCTCCTCCTCCTCCGCCCTCTCCTCCTCCCTCTCCTACCTATGGCAGTGGTGGTGGGAAATCGGCCCCTAAACCTTGGCACACAGCCATCACACAACCAGGTCTCTCACCACGAGCCACGTCTGCTCCAGGCCAGAATCCCGAAGTATCAAAACTCGGCTCTTGAGGCTCGACGACGTCGACCTGCTGGTCTGCATCCGACCCTGGCCCTCCCCAGGCCAAATTGCTCCTCTTCGCCGCCGGCCCCGGGCCACAGCTTCCGACTTCTGAGGCCTCGGCCACCGACGTATTTTCTGCCGTCTGCTGGCACGATCCTCCCCAACCTGCCCCTCCAGCAAGTCCGATCCCCGACTGGCCGAAAGTACACGGAAGAACAAATCTGTCAAATACCGCTGGGGAAACTCCACCAGGGAATCGGTTCCAGTGTTGGCTCGTGTCTTGCGCGCGGGCGGAGCGAAGCTGCGCAAGGGCGGCGATGTGCCCGTGCAGCTAGAGCCAAGTCGGGCAGCAGATGTATCCTCTAGTTGCGCGGTTCCTCGCCGTGGTTGCCCCACGGGTGTCCTGTGGTCGTCTCGTGGTTGTCCTGTGGACTGTCACGTGGTCGTCCCGTGGGTTGTCCTGCGGGTGTCCCGTTGGAGAGCAAATCGGAATGATAATTCGACTGGCATCGAACCGCAAATCGAATTCAACTCCAAATGCAGATCAAAAATGAACACACTTTCATCTTAAACATTCAATTTGAAATGCACTTCAAAATCGAAAGACATGCAAACCGATGTATACTCGGGACCTCTGACTCACTCGTCCATCCGTCTATCCCTGTTCCCTGGTACTCCTCCTCCGCTGCCCTGTCCGTCATCCCTCCTCTTTTTCTTTCCGTCTATGATTCCCCTCCACTTCTTCCATTTCACCAGGCCTCGTTTCATGACTGTTCGGCCCAATCATTTCGAGGCGCACGTGCCCTGGCATAGTAAACGCTTTGTCGCGCTGGAAGAAATTGTCATGCTTCTTTGTGGCCTTCCTGGACCCAAGATACTCCTCAAATCGAGCACGGGTGCTACCTATGTTCAACATCGTCGAGGGTGGCTCCAATGTGCCGAAACTTCGCCCATGATGGCTTTCCAGACCATCCAAGAGTCTCGCTACAAGCGACCACTGGCAACGAAGCAAAGCGCTGCGCTACCCTACCTCCATCCCTGGGCGCGGTCCTCCTGAAGGTCTACGGGATGATCCACCCTGGGACTCTGCCTTCCCTCTACTCCCTCCTCCCGTCTTCCCACCCTCATAAGTCCACGGTCCTCCCGCCCTCCTTCTACCGCCTGCTCACCTTCTCCATGCACTCCGCCCTACATCTCCATCCTCGCTCCGCCCGACATCCTCACTCCGCGTTCCCCCTGCCCCAAGATCCACCACTTCCCACTCCTTCATCACTCTTCCCCCCTCCGCCCGCCCCCCCTCTTCCACCCACCCTCGCCCGTTGCCATTGCCCCTCCACCACTATCCGCCACAGTGCCCCCTGGTACGTTGAGGCGTGGAAGAATGCCAAGGTCTGCCTGGTAGGGTTTCTGTATTTGAATGAATCAGGGACCCCCCACTCTACCCGCAGACTCGCGCATGCATCCCCCTCACTCCCACGGCGACGATCCCTTTAATCGAAGGTTTGAGGGTGAGATCGATATGAAACGGAACCAACACCAGGAAATTGATTTCGACTTACTGTTCGTGTCATGCGTGCGGGCGAGGCGAAGCTGCGTGGGCGTGCGAGCGGAACCCGTCGTGGCTAGGGCAAAACCGGGCAAAATGATGCTGTGCCCCCCAGTTGGCTGGCGGTGGCCCCGTGGTGTCCCGATGGTGTCCCGATGGTGTCTCGATGGTGTCCCGATGGTGTCCCGATGGTGTCCCGATGGTGTCCCGATGGTGTCCCGATGGTGTCCCGATGGTGTTCCGACGGTGTCCACATCGTGTCCGCATGGTGTCCACATAGTGTCCACATGGTGTCCAGATGGTGTTCCGATGGTTTCTCGTTGGTGTCCTGCTGGTGTCCCGATGGCGCCCCGACGGTGTTCCAACTTTGTCCCGATGGTGCCCCAATGGTGCCCCAATGGTGTCCTGATGGTGTTCCAACGGTGATCCGATGGTGTCCCCATAGTGCCCCGATGGTGTCCAGATGGTGTCCCGATGGGTGTCCCGATGATTGCCCCGTGAAGTCGGTTGATGAATAGACAGCGAGGTCGATGGATAGTGAAACAAAACCATCGTGAAATCGGTAGAACTATCGATACATTGATAGATAGTTTAAGAAACCAATGGGATCGTTAACATGCTTTGCCACCAGCTCGCGAGCGCCTCATCAGCATCGACTCCACCACAATCATCGCAATTGTCGCCCCTTGGTTCCCACACGACCTTCTTATCACACGAAGGGTGTTCGTATATGTAAAGTACATGAATATACGCCTCGAGCGTCCAAGGCGGTCCAGGCAGGCAACCAAGGCCTCCAAGATGGTCCGAAATGCATCCAGGGCGGCTCAAGATGGCCCCAAGACGGCCCAATAGATCTTTAGGGCGGCCCAAAATGCCTCCAAGAGGGCCCCATAAGCCACAAGAGGACATCCAACATGATCCGAAGAAGCCGAAACCGCTGTTTCCCCTGAGTGAATGTGTTGAACAAGGGTCGTCGCATTCACATTTGTTGGGCTTCAGTCAGATCAAGACGGCCTGATCAGCCTCCAAGATGGTTCCAGGACGGCCCAAGAGGTCACCAAGAGGTTCCCAAGATGGCCCAAGAAGCATCCAGGACGGCCCCAAGACGGCCCAAGAGGGTCCCCAAAAGGACCCCAAAAGATCTCAGAAGGCCCCGCGACAACCGAAGATGGCGCCCAGACGGCCCCACAACGGCCTTCAGACACACCATACAGCCAAGAGGGCCCCAAGATGGCCCAACAGAGACCCAAGATGGCCAAAGAGGGCCCCCACGCGGCCCAAGAAGGCTTCAAAACGGGCGCAACGGTTCCCCAAGATCGCACTGCCCCATACGAGGCCAAGAGAACCACAAAACGGCCCAAAAATGTCAAGTGTGACGGCCTTCGCCAATGCCAGGTGTAACGGCCCAAGTGTGGCGGGACATATAGGCCCACGCTTCGAACCCACCCCAGAGAGCACCGCGGTTTCCTGGCTCCCCCCGGTGCACATTGCCCCCCCCCGGCGCCAACCCCCAAAACTTGTGCAGCGCCAGGGGAAGGGGTGCCGATCATCCCGCAGGATCTCTCCGAGACGAACTGACGAATCCCCCCATACAGTTCCCCAGGCGTCGAACGTGGATGTAGAAGTCCACGTGCAGGCACTTTGTCCCGCCCTCTTTCAGGAATAAGCGCAGCCGCGGCTGGGCCGCTGCCAGCATCATTTCTCTTCACCTCGCAAGACGAAGACCATAGCAGAAGTCCTAGTCGTCGGCAGACCAACGCTGCCACGTCCTTTTCAGCAACATCCCACACGTATTTAACACCAGTTACATGATCATCATAACGATGGTCGGTATCCC